TACATGAAAACCTTTTCCAAAATTGCCGCTCTGTAACTTCCGGTTCACGGGCGACGTAACCTTCTAACGCGTTTTGTCACTTCCGACTTCATCTGAGGCCTATTTGGGAAAGAAAGAATCATTTTCTAATAGAAGATATCTGCACAATTGTTTTCTTTGAACAGTGAATAAGAGTTGGACTATATAGTTGTGACTTTCGGGGGAGAGTATATTTGCCGTCAAGGGTTATATATCACTTATTGTATTAGTATTTAGTAATACACTGATACACTTATTTACTTATTCAGTAGCCTGGCACCATTTTTTTCTCTGTATTTTTTATTGTTTTGCTGTTGCTCTTATTATTTTAGTGGTATGAATTATTATTATTATACAGGATTTATATAGCGCCAACAGTTTGCTCAGCGCTTTACAATATAATGGGAGACAATACAGCAACAATACAGTTCAATACAAGAGGGATAGGAGGGCCCTGCTCCTTGGAGCTTACAATCTAGGAGATGATGCAATTCTCTTGTAACCTTGGTGTTTTTTAATTTCTGGTACTTATATACATCAATTTACACAGCGCTTTACATATATATTGTACATTCACATCAGTCTCTAACCCTCAAGGGGTGTACAATCTAAGGTACGTAACTCACATTCATACATACACGTACTAGGAACAATTTAGACAGGAGCCAATTCACCTACCAGCATGTCTTTGGAGTGTGGGAGGAAACCGGAGTACCCGGAGGAAACCCACGCAGGCACAGGGAGAACATGCAAACTCCAGGCAGATGGTGCCGTGGCTGGGATTGGAACCAACGACTCTAGTGCTGCCAGGCGGAAGTGCTAACCATTTAGCCACTGTGCTGCCAATTGCAACACTTTTATTTTTCTGCTGAATAGGCTAATTCTATTTACAAGAAAAAAAAAAACACTTATCAGGTAACATTAAACTTTTGAGCTCACCACCTCAATTATCGTTGGAATATGAATGATTCAGAGTACGGAGGTCATCTGTGCTAGGTCCCATCTGTGCAGTATAGTTGATTAATATGCAAATGCAAGCATGCTATATATTTTGGCTTGTAGACTTATCCACTCCCCTCTTTAAATATTTCATAATTACAAGAGAAAGGTATTAATTCCTAAAGGTCACAGGTGCTCATGGTATCACTAACTATGGCTAGGAATCCCACCCAGTTTTTTTTTTTTTTTTTTTTATTAATCTGCACAATGATCAGTTCAGAATCGCAAAATCTCAGTGTGTAATTGCCCTTCAAAAATCCACTAAAACCTTCATAATTGTCAATAAAGGAATTACATTTTAAATTGGTTCTAAAGCCTCACAATTTTATATTACCGATATCTATTATTGCATGATGTCCCATGCTGAGGATACCTTTTTTCTTTTGACAGGTAATAGCTGACATCTTGCATAGCTCCTACCTGTCAGACCCAGCTGTCAATGACAGTTCTGGTGTACACGAACAATAGAAACCAACCAATCAGAGTAGGTTCAGATTACTGTATACATGTCATATCACTATAATGGAGTACAGGGGAGGGGGAAAATATACATTACTGTATACATGTCATATCACCATAATGGAGTACAGGGGAGGGGGGATATACATTACTGTATACATATCATCACTATAATGGAGTACAGGGGAGGGGGGATATACATTACTGTATACATGTCATATCACTCTAATGGAGTACAGGGGAGGGGGGATATACATTACTGTATACATGTCATATCACTATAATGGAGTACAGGGGAGGGGGGGGATATACATTACTGTATACATGTCATATCACTCTAATGGAGTACAGGGGAGGGGGATATACATTACTGTATACATGTCATATCACTATAATGGAGTACAGGGGAGGAGGGATATACATTACTGTATTCATGTCATATCACTATAATGGAGTACAGGGGAGGGGGGGATATACATTACTGTATACATGTCATATCACTATAATGGAGTACAGGGGAGGGAGATATACATTACTGTATACATGTCATATCACTATAATGGAGTACAGGGGAGGGGGGATATACATTACTGTATACATGTCATATCACTATAATGGAGTACAGGGGAGGGGGGATATACATTACTGTATACATGTCATATCACTATAATGGAGTACAGGGGAGGGGGGATATACATTACTGTATACATGTCATATCACTATAATGGAGTACAGGGGAGCTGGGATATACATTACTGTATACATGTCATATCACTATAATGGAGTACAGGGGAGGGGGGGGGGGATATACATGACTGTATACATGTCATATCACTATAATGGAGTACAGGGGAGGGGGGATATACATTACTGTATACATGTCATATCACTATAATGGAGTACAGGGGAGGGGGGATATACATTACTGTATACATGTCATATCACTATAATGGAGTACAGGGGAGGGGGGATATACATTACTGTATACATGTCATATCACTATAATGGAGTACAGGGGAGGGGGGTATACATGTCATATACATGACTGTATACATGTCATATCACTATAATGGAGTACAGGGGAGGGGGGATATACATTACTGTATACACGTCATATCACTATAATGGAGTACAGGGAGGGGGATATACATTACTGTATACATGTCATATCACTATAATGGAGTACAGGGGAGGGGGGGATATATATTGCTGTATACATGTCATATCACTATAATGGAGTACAGGGGAGGGGGGATATATACATTACTGTATACATGTCATATCACTATAATGGAGTACAGGGGAGGGGGGGGGGATATACAGTACTGTATACATGTCAATATCACTGTAATGTGTATTACTGAGTAATGTATCCCATATCCCCTGTACTCCATTATAGTGATAGGACATGTTGTATACAGCACTTACTGTCTGCCCGAGTCCCCTGTAGCGGTGGAGAGGGTGTCTCCTCTCAGCGGAGAAGAGCGGACCTCTCCTGCGCTTGTCCCCTTGGCGGCGGTGCCGCAGAAGCCGGAAACCGGAAGTTGTAAACCGTAACTCGGCTTCACAATGAGGCTTGGAGCGCATGTGCAGTCGCTCCAAGCTTCATCTGTGCTCGCCGCTCGCCACAGAGGAATTTCTCCTCGCATTTGGCGAGCGGGCTAGTGGCTTTTTCAAGCCCTGCACTAACATACAATTTTGAGGACAAGCTTTTGGGTTATGTCCCCTTCTTCAAGGTCCAGGCAATACTACTTCACAAAGTTTTAGCAGAATGTTAAAAGAAATGTTAAAAGGGGGAGGAACAAAAACAGAAAAAAACACACACAAACAAATGTACACAGCAATGGTTATAAAACTAGGATTAGACTAGAGATAAGATGAAGCAAAAGCAAAGACTTGGGGGGGATAACACTCACTGAGGGGCCGTAAAACTGTTGGATAGTGAGAGAAGAATCCCATGTCCAAATTAAGGCCGTTATCTCTTGTATCAAATAGAAATATCATTCTTCGTTCAAAAGTTTTCCTTTCCTGAATAGTTTTGAAATTTCCTTTACGAATTACAATATTGAGGTCCGGTTGTGTGAAATGGTGTCCCACAGGTGTGCAGAAGTCATCCTTATGTTCCTTGATGGTATGTCTGTCTGAGGGAGGGGAAAAGTCATAGATTCCCTTCTGTTCTAAAATTCTAACCTTTTTATTTTTCGTGTAAATTTAGTTCCTTTTTAATAAAACTGTAGAATTGTTAGAATTATTGGGTGACATTGGGCAGTCCTCTAGAGACAGCCCAGCCCCCCCCAATACTCACAGACACACTAGTCTTTCTGACAAACTTCAGCATGGGAAAGTTAGTAATCTGGGTCATGTCAGAAATGACAGCCTCTTTTGTATAAATGACAGGTGATTTAAAAAAATCTAGGACTTTCAATCTACCCATTAGCAGCAATAGGAAAGCACAGCACAGATTTTATTTATTCATGCCTTTAAAGCCCATTATTACTCTCGTCTCTCTGTATCTCATTTTTATTCCCTAAAGTCCTTTTCTCATAAAATGCCTATTTACGCCGCAAATTGATTGAAGTGTGGTTTTTCCATTACATTGCGTGCGATTGCCCTTTCCTGCTATTGAATTTTAAGGCCACTTCTTATAATCTTCCTGGTAAATAATTTTTTTTTTTTTTTTAAGTTTTGCATTGTGCATCTTTTTTAGTTCATAAAAACTCCCAATAAGCATGTAAATGTGACCTCCACAGACCCTGAACTGATGACTGCAAAGAAAATAATGTACATTAAAGCAAAAACAAAATAGATGTGTAAATCACTCCCAGTAGGATTTAAAGAAAGGAATAAAATCTTACCTTCTGGTGTATTATTAATAATGAAAATGGGTCCAAATATAATGTGGTATACATTAATTTAATTAATGCTTTTAATGCTTTTTTTTTTTTTAATTGATTAAGATTGAAATGACATACTTTATGGCTAAAGGCAGCCATTTTGACTATCAAGCAAACCTGTTCCTTAGGAAAAAGTGTCATCACTGAGCATGAAACGCTTAACATACCAAAGCATCAGTTATTCATTTTACTCATATTATTATTATTATTTATTTATTTCAGGTACTTCTATAGTGCTGTCAATTTACGCAGCACTTTACATATATTTTGTTACATTCACATCAATCCCTAACCCTCAAGCGGTGTACAATCTAAGGTCCCTAACTCACATTCATACATACACATACTCCTAGAGATGTTTCAGATCTAACTATTTCTTCCATATTCCTTTGGGAGCCTAATTGACTATTTTGGTATACACTGAGAGTTTTTATGAAATATTGTATTATAGTCTACGTTCTCGTGTAGCCAAACACTGCTTTGTGAAGGTTTGGATGGCGTCCACCATGACTTAACTCATTATTTTTAGAGCTGTGTGTACCTTGATTGCCCTGGCACTAGTGTGCAACACAAGTTGGAAAATGACCACCACCAGATGTTTAATGGCCAGTTGTCTGTTTTTGTATTTAGCATGGCCAGCAGCTCTACCGTCACATATATCTGGGCTGTAAGGAGGACGACAATGTACACAAGAACTTTGAACTTTTGTATACAGCCTTGGCTCTTCTCACCATCGAACTGGCCAATGAAGAAGTTGTCATCGACCTGATCCGGGTGGCTATTGCACTACAGGTTGGTTTTAGAAGATTCTTGGTAAAAGCTGAATTCGAATAAGAGCTTAGCTCTACCATGTTAGGCCTGAAATACAGTGAACTAGTGAATTATAAGTAGTTGTGTCAATGTTTGTTTGTTTTTTTTTTTACTTGCTAATATATAACTTTCCATGAAGCATCATTCATCCTAATAATATATGTAAACCCTGTGCCCTTATTCAGTGGCGTTGCTAGAACCTTCAGGGCCCCAATGCATGAAACCATGAAGGGCCCCCCTATCCCCCTGACTTGGGGCCCTTCCATCTGAGCCCGGTGGTGGAACGCCAGGACCTGGTCGCAAGCACAACCTTTTTACCATGGTAGTTCCACCACTGGTATCAGTAGTTTTTGATTTTTGTTATTTTATTTTTTTAAAATAGTTTTAAGAGCCCCGTTGAGGCGCTTTGCTTTTGCTATATTCAGCCGCCCCCGCTGCTTGTCCTGTCCAGGCGTACAGGCAGGTCCGTTGCAAGGATTTTTGCCTACACAGGCGAAAGTACATTTTGCCGCTCCCCATCTTTCAGCCACCCTGCGCCTGGTATTGCTGCCCAACCACCCCCCATCTTCCAGACAACCCAAGCTGATACTACTGTAGCCCCCCCCCCCTCAATTCTCCATCCATTCTGCATTGGTACTGCTAGACCACCTCTGTCTTCCAGCCACCCCACACTGGTACTGCTAGACCCCCCTCTGTCCTCCAGCCACCCCAACAATGGAGTTGTTCTACCCCTTACCACCCACCCCCCCCCCCCCCCTTGCATCCAGTGAATGCCACTGGAACACCCCCCAAATCCCCAAGTGGCTGGGGATTTGGATTTTACTGCCACCTCCTGGCACCCTAGTGTGGTTGACACCAGCCCTGCCAACCAGCATGGTCTGGAGATGGGGCTCCTGTCCCTATGGAAGATGGGGTTCCTTTCCTTAGGGGAGATGAGGTCCCTGTCCCCAGGGTGGGGAGTCTCTATCCCCAGTGGAAATTAGGTTCCTTTCCCCAGGAAAGGTGGAGTGTGATGTATGGGGGAGATGGGGTCATCTCCCTCACCGTGACCAAGCTGCAGGGTGAGGTTGATGGAGTACAGGTACTAGATCTTGGCCAGTATGGTCTGGCTGTGCCATCTGTGTCCACGAGGAAGCATACTGTGCTGCGATCGGCTGCCCTTCAATCCCTCATCCATGGTTGCCTGGGCTCCCTCCAGCAGTATAGACAGAGCGATCAGTGTGGGAAGACACATCTTCCGCTCCATAAGGAGGGAGGAGATATATGTAATGTATGATGGGTTGAGGAGGGGGGCTGGAAGACAAGCCTGCGATGTCTTCAGGGGGACCAGCTCTCATAGGGCTGCACCTGTGCGCTAGAAGATCTTTTGTCCAGGAGCACTGTGCGCCAGAGGGCCCTGTACAAAGGAGGTGATGGAGGTGACTCAAGGGGAAGGGGGGGTCCTGGGAATCTGGATGGGGGGACATTGAACTGAGTGACACTCTATGGGGCAGGAGAGAGGGACCAGCAGAGGTCACGGGGAATGTGAATAGCAACCACTGCGGAAGGGCATGTAGCTCTACTACCCTCCCCCGCCCTCTAGCCACTCGGGGTGTTGTTACTGCTACCTACCACCCACCCAACTGCCTATGTTGCCTGCATACAGGAGAACCGCATGGGCCTCCTGCAGCTCAGGCCAGGTCACAGTTGGGACTCCTGCTACCTATATAGCTACGCCCCTGTGTTTCAACCAGATTTTGTACTCTACTAATATACACCTCATTCTTGTGTCACCAGTCTGTTGTGATGTGGAACCCCTCGTATGTACTTGTTTTCTCTAGCATCTATTGAGGTACACAGGATTTTACTCTTGGAACTATAAGCTATGCTGTCACCTACAAAAGAACGAAACATTAATGTGGTCGTTAAGGCTCAATGTTTTTTACCTGCATGCATTGACCCGGGACCCGAGAAGAAGAGGATCCGAGCTGCTCTGTGCAAAACCACTGCACAGAGCAGGTAAATATGATATGTTTGTTATTTAAAAAGAAAAAAAAAAAGACTTTAGTATCTCTTTAAGCGCAAAAATAAATAGGCCATCCCTAGGGGCATCACGCCTCTTACACCTGCCATGCTTTCAGTTTCGCTGGTGGCAGGTTGCTGTACATAGCTACTTGAAAACATAAAAGCACCCTGCCTCAGTACTGCTCAAGAGCTCTCCGTCCTGATGCAACCATTTTGCCCTTATTAAATTCTGGGATTCCTTTTGAGGACTCAACCCTTTTGTACTCACTTTTGATTCAGGATAAGGTTTAGTGCTTATACACGCATGGATTTATTAGATGCATTTTTTACCTAAACCTGGTAAACGCACTTGTGCTTTATGAACACAATTGTTATTTTATTTTTAATAACGTGTCTGCTCAAGCAGAAAGCAGATTTCAAAAACCAAGACAGTACATTCTAAAACAAAATCTGGTACAAGACATAACATGAAAGATAAGAAGTGTATACAGCACCATAGAGAGCAAATGGCTTTTTAATTATACAATAATTAACTCGAGTGTAATGACTACACTAAAAGCTTCTTAAAACATTGGGGAATAAAACACATTTAAAGTAGATCTAAACTCTAATTGGATGAAATTTAGTTTCCTAAATTATAAACCATTATCCTGTGCATCATAAACAATTCCCATATTTTTTTTTTTTACATAAAATACAGTTTTTGCTGCCTTTTTTTTTTTGTATGTCAGTGGTTCTGTAGGTACTGATCATGTCTACATGTAATTCCTCCAGCATCAGCTGCACATCTTTGCTCTGAACTGGCTTCTCAGTGGTGACAGAGGTGGACCATGCATGAACAATATGTGTTGCCAGGGCAATATGTGCAGGAGAGGAGAGTGGGAGTGTGACAGTGGACAGTATGTGCAGGAGAGGAGTGTGGAGGGTGTGACAGTGGACAGTACAGGTGAAACTCGAAAAATTTAGAATATCGTGCAAAAGTTCATTTATTTCAGTAATGCAACTTAAAAGGTGAAACTAATATATGAGATAGACTCATTACATGCAAAGCAAGATAGTTCAAGCCGTCATAATTGTGATGATTATGGCTTACAGCTCATGAAAACCCCAAATCCACAATCTCAGAAAATGAGAATATTGTGAAAAGGTGCAATATTCTCGGCTCAAACTGTCCCACTCTAATCAGCTAATTAAGCCATAACACCTGCAAAGGGTTCCTGAGCCTTTAAATGGTCTCTCAGTCTGGTTCAGTAGGAATTACAATCATGGGAAAGACTGCTGACCTGACAGTTGTGCAGAAAACCATCATTGACACCCTCCATAAGGAGGGAAAGCCTCAAAAGGTAATTGCAAAAGAAGTTGGATGTTCCCAAAATGCTGTATCAAAGCACATTAATAGAAAGTTATGTGGAAGGGAAAAGTGTGGAAGACAAAGGTGCACAAGCAGCAGGGATGACCGCAGCCTGGAGAGGATTGTCAGGAAAAGGCAATTCAAAAGTGTTGGGGACTTTCACAAGGAGTGGACTGAGGCTGGAGTCAGTGCATCAAGAGCCACCACACACAGGCGGAACCTGGATATGGGCTTCAAATGTCGTATTCCTCTTGTCAAAGCCGCTCCTGAACAACAAACAACGTCAGAAGCGTCTTACCTGGGCTAAATAAAAACAGACCTGGTCTGTTGCTCAGTGGTCCAAAGTCCTCTTTTCTGATGAGAGCAACTTTTGCATGTCATTTGGAAACCAAGGACCCAGAGTGTGGAGGAAGAATGGAGAGGCACACACTGCAAGATGCTTGAAGTCCAGTGTGAAGTTTCCACAGTCTGTGTTGATTTGGGGAGCCATGTCATCTGCTGGTGTTGGTCCACTGTGCTTCATTAAGTCCAGGGTCAACGCAGTCGTCTACCAGGAGATTTTGGAGCACTTCATGCTTCCTTCTACAGACGAGCTTTATGGGGATGCTGACTTCATTTTCCATCAGGACTTGGCACCTGCCCACACTGCCGAAAGCTCCAAAACCTGGTTCAATGACCGTGGGATTACTGTGCTTGATTGGCCAGCAAACTCACCTGCCCTGAACCCCATAGAGAATCTATGGGGCATTGCCAAGAGAAAGATGAGAGACATGAGACCGAACAATGCAGAAGAGCTGAAGGCCGCTATTGAAGCATCCTGGTCTTCCATAACACCTCGGCAGTGCCACAGGCTGATAGCTTCCATGCCACGCCGCATTGAGGCAGTAATTGCTGCAAAAGGGGCCCAAACCAAGTACTGAGTACATATGCATGCTTCTACTTTTCAGAGGTCCGATATTGTTCTATGTACAATCCTTGTTTTATTGATTGCAGGTAATATTCTCATTTTCTGAGATTGTGGATTTGGGGTTTTCATGAGCTGTAAGCCATAATCATCACAATGATGACAAATCATGGCTTGAACTATCTTGCTTTGCATGTAATGAGTCTATCTCATATATTAGTTTCACCTTTTAAGTTGCATTACTGAAATAAATGAACTTTTGCACGATATTCTAATTTTTCGAGTTTCACCTGTATGTTCAGGAGAGAAGTGTGGAGGGTATCACACAGTAGTACGTGTAGGAGAGGAGTGTGGAGGGTATGACAGTGGGTAGTATGTGTAGGAGAGGAGTGTGGAGGGTATGACAGAGGGCAGTATGTATAGGAGAGTAGTGTGGAGGGTATGATGGGACAGTATGTATAGGAGAGGAGTGTGGAGGGTGTGACAGAGGGCAGTATGTGTAGGAGAGGAGTGTGGAGGGTATGACAGTGGGTAGTATGTGTAGGAGAGGAGTGTGGAGGGTATGACAGAGGGCAGTATGTATAGGAGAGGAGTGTGGAGGGTGTGACAGAGGGCAGTATGTGTAGGACAGGAGTGTAAGACAGTGGGCAGTATGTGTAGGAGAGGAGTGTGGAGGGTATGATGTGACAGTATGTATAGGAGAGGAGTGTGGAGGGTGTGACAGAGGGCAGTATGTATAGGAGAGGAGTGTGGAGGGTGTGACAGAGGGCAGTATGTATAGGAGAGGAGTGTGGAGGGTGTGACAGAGAGCAGTATGTATAGGAGAGGAGTGTGGAGGGTATGACAGTGGGTAGTATGTATAGGAGAGGAGTGTGGAGGGTGTGGCAGAGGGCAGTATGTATAGGAGAGGAGTGTGGAGGGTATGACAGAGGGCAGTATGTATAGGAGAGGAGTTTGGAGGGTGTGACAATGGGCAGTATGTATAGGAGAGGAGTGTGGAGGGTGTGACAGAGGGCAGTATGTATAGGAGAGGAGTGTGGAGGGTGTGGCAGAGGGCAGTATGTGTAGGAGAGGAGTGTGGAGGGGTATGACAATGGGCAGTATGTATAGGAGAGGAGTGTGGAGGGTGTGACAGAGGGCAGTATGTGTAGGACAGGAGTGTAAGACAGTGGGCAGTATGTGTAGGAGAGGAGTGTGGAGGGTATGATGGGACAGTATGTATAGGAGAGGAGTGTGGAGGGTGTGACAGAGGGCAGTATGTATAGGAGAGGAGTGTGGAGGGTGTGACAGTGGGGCAGTATGTGTAGGACAGGAGTGTAAGACAGTGGGCAGTAGGTGTAGGAGAGGAATGAGGAAGGTATCACAGGGAAGTATGTACAGGTGAGGAGTGTGGAGGCTTTGACAGAAAGCAGTATGTGTAGTAGAGGAGTGCAGCATATAACAGCATGCAGTATGTACAGGAGAAGAGCGGAGAAGGTATACAGAGGGCACTGTGTACAGGAAAGGAGATGGATTATGACGTTTTAGAAGTGGGACAAGGTAGCACAGCTGTTTACTGTTTACTAGCATTCAGAAAGTGTATACGCAGGTTGGGCAGCATCTATTTTCTCTTCAATGAGTGACGCAGCTCAGGGGGGGGGGGGGGTTGAGTCAGTGCCCATGGGGGTGAGAGTTGGACAACCAAGGTAGGATAGGAATCAAGAGTCGGGTGTGAAGTGGTTACGAAGTGTGTATGTTAGCAGGAATGGTGAATTATTATTATACAGTATTTATAAAGCGCCAACAGTTCGCTCTCAGCGCTGTACATTACAGGTTGGGAGGCGCATCAGCAGGAGGTGATGTGTGTCTGGGGGGGATGTGAGACGAGTAGCGGTTTAAACAGCCAGGGAATGTGTCAGGAGCGGAAAGGGGGAGAGATGGCCAGAAAGGGATGTGTTTTAGCATCTAGAGAACGTGTGTATTGCATCCAGAGAGAGATGGGTTTTATGGGGAGGGGTGATTGTGTGAGGTGCCAGGGTGCAGCCGTTCTTGTCTCAGGACTACACATCACGTTTGTGCGGGTCCCCTTCAAGCAATGACGAAACACTGTCCCGTGCATACACTGTAATGTTATATACTTTTCTCACACTTGCTCAGTGTGCTTCCTCATGCTCTTGATTCTCCCACCCTTTAATACTCATATCAGTTTGGCAGATAAATCCCACACATGTGCAGAAGTACCACATTGTCTTACCTCCATATTGATCTGAGCATCAAAGAGGGCAAAATCATAGAGAGAAGGAGGAGGCACAATAACACTACATATGTACGGCTTAATGTGTCCTCATTGCTTAAACCTACTATTACTATTGTTACTTTGGACATATAGAGTGAAGGAAATAAGTATTTAATCCCCTGCTGTTTTTAAATGTTTGCCCACTCACATAGAAATGATCGGTCTAAAAATCGAATGGTAGGTATGTTGTAACACTGAGATACAGAATAGCAACAAAAAATTCAAAAGAAATGCCTAACAAGTTATGCACTAATTTGCATGTTCATGAAGGAAATAAGTATTTGGCCCCCTTCTCAAAACATGACTTAGTACTTGGTGGCAAATCCCTTGTTGGCAATCACAGAGGTCAGATGTTTCCTGTAGTTGGCCACCAGGTTTGCACACATCTCAGGAGGGATTTTGGCCCACTCCTCTTGGCAGATCCTCTCCAAGTCATTAAGGTTTGGTGGCTGAGGTTTGGCAACTCGAACTTTCAGCTCCCTCCACAGATTTTCAATTGGATTAAGGTCTGGAGACTGGCTAGGCCACTCTAGGACCTTAATGTGCTTCTTGAGCCACTCCTTTGTTGCCTTTGCCGTGTATTTTGGGTCATTGTCATGCTGGAACACCCATCTATGACCCATTTTCAATGCCCTGGCTGAGGGAAGAAGGTTCTCACCCAAGATTTGACGGTACATTGCCCTGTCCATCGTCCCTTTGATGCAGTGCAGTTGTCCTGTCCCCTTAGCAGAAAAACACCCCCAAAGCAGAATGTTTCCACCACCATGTTTGACGGTTGGGATCGTGTTCTTGGGGTCATTCCTCTTCCTAAATACGGCGAGTTGAGTTGATGCCAAAGAGCTCGATTTTGGTCTCATCTGACCACAACACTTTTAACCACTTGAGCTCCAGAGGATTTACCCCCCTTAATGACCAGGCCTCTTTTTTGCTACTCGGCGCTGCACTAATTCAACTGATAATTGCGCAGTCATGCAATGCTGCACCCAAACAAAATTTACGTTCTTTTTTTCACACAAATAGAGCTTTCTTTCGGTGTAATTTGATCACCTGTGCGCATTTTATTTTTCACACTATAAACAAAAAAAGGCCAAAAATTTTGAAGAAAAACAATATTTTTTACTTTCAGCTATAAAAAATATATAGTAAACTCAAAGTTGGTTATAAATTAGGCCAAAATGTATTCTGCTCCATGTTTTTGGTAAAAAAAAAAATCCCAATAAGTGTATATTGATTGCTTTGTGTGGAAGTTATATACGTCTACAAACTATGGTATAAATACTGCAATTTACGCCATTTTTCTGCTATACAGCGCTGCGCTAGTTTAACGGACAATTGCGCGGTCATGCAATACGGTACATAAAATACATTTACATCCTTTTTTTCCCCACAAATTGAGCTTTCTTTTGGTGGTATTTGATCGCCTGTGCGGGTTTTATTTTTTGCGCTATAAAAAAAAAAGGCTGACAATTTTGAGGGAAAAAAAAAAACAATATTTTGGACTTTTTGCTATAAAACATGTCCAGTAAAAAAAAAATGCCAATGCAAAAATAAAATTTAGTCATAAATTTCTGCCAAAATGCATTCTGCGACATGTCTTTGCAAAAAAAAAAACCCAATACGTGTAAATTAATTCGTTTACGTGAAAGTTATAGCGTTTACAAATGGCGGGAAAGATACTGGGATTTTTAGGTTTTTTTTTATACTAATAATGGCGGCGATCAGCGAATTATGGCAGCGACCAGCGACTTATGGCGGGACTGCGGCGGACATTCTGACATTGGGGGGTACTGACTTGGGGTCACTGACATCCCCAAAAGTACTAATACAGTGATCAGTGCAAAAAAAAAACACTGACACTGTACTAATGGCACTGGGGAGGAAGGGGTTAACTTTATTTTGCAGGGAAGGGTTATAGGAGTGAGGGGAGTGTTTTACTAGGGGGCGGGGGCTACTGCAGCTGTGCTGTCTGTCACTGATTGCCGCCAATCGCCGGGAGATAGCCGCTAAGGAGCGGCTGTGACCCGGCGACAGACATCTGCGGCGGTGATCGGCGGGACAAATAGGGCGGCGGCGCGCCTCACGGGCGCCCCCTATTTGTTTATAAAACACACGTTTTAAAACGTGGTTTTGCCTGTGAGTGCCGCCCTGCCGCCATATATGTACAGTAGCTGGGCGGCATGCGGTTAACCAGTCCTCCTCTGCACCATTCACATGTTCAGTGGCAAACTTCAGACGGGCCTGGACATCTGCTTTCTTGAGCAGAGGGACCTTGCAGGCACTGCAGGATTTCAGTCCATGTCGGCGTAGTGTGTTACCAATTTCTTGGTGACTGTGGTCACAGCTGCCTGGAGATCATTGACAAGATCCTCATGTGTAGTACTAGGATGATTCCTCACTGTTCTCATGATCATTGACACACCATGAGGTGAGATCTTGCATGGTGCACCAGAATTATTGAGACTGACAGTCGTTTTGTGTTTCTTCCATTTGCGAATGATTGCACCAACTGTTGTCACCTTCTCACCAAGCTGCTTGGCGATAGTTTGGTAGCTCAGTCCAGCCTTGTGTAGGTCTACAATCTTGTCCCTGACATCCTTGGACAGCTCTTTGGTCTTTGCCATGGTGGAGAGTTTGGAATCTGATTGTTTGATTGCTCCTGTGGACAGGTGTCTTTTATACAGGTAACAAAAAGAGATTAGCAGCACTCCCTTTAAGAGACTGCTTCTAATCTCAGTTTGTTACCTGTATGAAAGACACCTTGTAGCCAGAAATCCTGCTGAATGATAGGGGATCAAATACTTATTTCTCTCATGAACATGCAAATCAGTGAATCATTTGTTAGACATGCATTTCTTTTGAATTTTTTGTTGCTATTCTGACTCTCAGTGTTACAATACACCGAACATTCGATCTTTACACTGATCATTTCTTCGTGAGTGGGCAAACATTCAAAATCCGCAGGGGATCAAATACTTATTTCCTTCACTGTAGTATAGGGAAAATTGAAACTCCATTTTGCTTCTGAATTTTTGATTAATAATTATGGATAATTGGTGTGGTTCTTGTAGGACTTGGCAATCACTAATGAGGACAACCTGCAGATGTTTAACCGATGTAGCATCATGGCATTGGTTGCAGCCTATCTCAACTTCCTCAGCCAGATGATTGCAGTTCCTGCTTTTTGCCAGCATGTCAGCAAGGTAAGTTATACTCTATTTTTAACTTTAAAGCCCAACTGAAGCTTTAAAAACAAATGTCTGCATGCAATAAATGCATTTCAGAAAGCTGAAATGTAAATGTATTTTTGGTAGTTAAAATGTTCCCTAGAGTCAGTCTAAACCCCTCTCCCCTAGCATTCAGCTGCTGGGAGGACTGTTACTCCCTGTGTGTAAGCAGCAGCCTATGTGCAGCAGTCTGTACTTCAGCCCTATTTTTATCTTAGTAATGTTTTGAGTGAATAAAATAGGATTTTTGTACTTGCCGTAAAATCTTTTTCATGGAGTCTGTTTAGGGACTCAGGAAGTCTTTAGCCATCGGGTTATTCTGCCAGCTACAGTAGGACTGGACACTGGTAAACTAAAATATCTGTACACCAGCCAAGGCTTAACCGTTACCAGCATGCCTCGTTGTTTTTAAAAAGCAGTACAAAAAGCATGATCAGAAACACACATGGGTGTGATATGTATCCCTCAGCGGAATCCAAGAAAAGGATTTTATGGTGAACACAAAAATCCTATTTTCTTTCTTTTTCATTGAGAGACTCAGGAAATCATTAACCTTTTGAGGCCCAGGGCAGGATCCACTCTACCACTCTTGCTGTGGTGAGACTATTGATTCCCCCTTTTGGTTGATGTATGCCACTGACATGGCATTGTTTGACTAAATCCAGATCAGATGACCTTCATATTATGTGGTCTAATGCTGAAGGACAGCCAAATTACCTGAAGCTCCAGGATGTTTATCGGGAGGCAAGATGTTTCTGATTACAACGTTCCCTGCACCAACACGGTGCACAGGACTCTTCCCCAACCCAATATTCTAGTCTGCAGCATGAGAATCTTCCAAAAGACATGAAGAAAGGACTTACCCGATTTCAGAGCTACCAAGCCAGGGGTTGCCTGATCTTTGACATCAACTGAATTGGTCTGTACAGAGACAGGACTAACATATCCGATGACAACAGAATGTTGCATTGCAGATGTCTGGAGTAGAATTTCACCATGAGGAATACTTTGAAGAATGCTACCTTAAACCGTTAAACCCTAAACTGGAGAATCAGAAAGTTCTTCTGGGGAAGGGAGACTCTGGCCTAAGACCCTAATACGATAAGAGATGTCTTTTCAAGCGATGATTTCAAAATGTTCAGGATCAACCTGAACCTCTGTAACCTATGAATAGTTAGAGATACAGTGGGGATCGAAAGTTTGGGCACCCCAGCTAAAAATTTGTATTAATGTGCATAAAGAAGCCAAGGAAAGATGGAAAAATCTCCAAAAGGCATCAAATTACAGATTAGACATTCTTATAATATGTCAACAAAAGTTAGATTTTATTTCCATTATTTACACTTTCAAAATAACAGAAAACAAAAAAATGGCGTCTGCAAAAGTTTGGGCACCCTGCAGAGTTAATATCTTGTACTGCCCCCTTTGCAAAGCTGACACCTGCCAGTGTCATGGATTGTTCTCAATCATCGTCTGGGAAGACCAGGTGATATCAATCTCAAAGGTTTTAAATGCCCAGACTCATCTGACCTTGCCCCAACAAGGTCAGTGGTCAGTCTTGCAGTATTAACCTCTTCCACGGCAAAATCAGCAGGTATGGGGAATAGTGGTACGCGGTGTCCCATGAAAATGAGGCCACTCCCTGTGCTTGGACAAACCACCCTACTTCCTGAGTGAGTCTTTGAAGACAGGGCAAGTGCTGAAGAAGTGCTAATGGCTGTGGACCTGGAAAGCATTCTGTAGCTAACGTTTGCCAGAACGGAGTGTGGATTGCACCCCATGCAGAACCCAGTACCCAAAGATCGCTTCCAGGCTATTCTGTTACCGTTCAGGTCACCAGAGTCTGGATGTAGCATTCCAAATGCCATCCCGAGATCGACCACACCATTTAGCTGGGGGTTGAAGGAGAAACCTTCAGCAGTGTTATAGAGAAAAAAGCCTTGGTTAAAGAAAAAAAGCACCAGCAAAAATAGGTTAATCTTACAGCAGCAGAACTAAATACTCTTAGGACACCAGAAAAAAAAACATGCTGATAGTAGGAGAGGTTTTCCTTGGTCGGCCTATGATCATTTTTTTTTTTTGCCGGTATCCATATCTCATGTAGGCGGCAGAATAACCAGAAGGTTAAAGACCCCTGCATTCCTCAGTGGACAAGAAAGAAAAATAATTTTAGCAAATATATTTACTAAGTACAATTTTAATTGATCGCAGTCTATAAATTGTCCTTGTTTATTTCCTGTTTAGGTTATAGAGACGAGACAGATGGATGCACCTTATTTCTTGCCAGAAGTCATTTTTAGAGACAAATGCAGGTAATATGAAAATTCTGATGCTTAAAGTGTACCTGTAGTGACTTAAATCCAAGTAAACCACCAGCTGGACTTTAAAGAAGGCATATAAGGGTGGCTCAATTCAACTTCCGTTGTCAAAAACACTCTAGGAGCCTTCACATCGGGGGGATCTCTACGAACACCAACTAGTGTTTTAGGATAATGATATCTGCTCTGACCTTTGCCGGTACCATTGGTCAGTAAAGCTGGCCATAGATGGATCCCTATTCAGCAGGGACTGACCCCATTTTGAGCCATCTGTGGCTGTTCCCACTTGGCAGAAGTTGATCTAATGATGTCGGAAAATTGTTTTGATAAGTGTGGATGGGGTTATCCCTTCTTTTCAGCCCGCTGGCTCAAAAAACAAATACTCTATGGTTAGCCCAAGGTCGCCCCACACATTTAGTGGCCAGTAGAAAGGCATAGGAGGGAAGGGGGAAGAGTTTAACCCTCCAATCTTTGGATGGCATCAGATTAGATTTCAAGGATCTGGTGGTGGAAATTACACTTGTATATGCGTACTATAAAATCTAGGTGGTGTTTTTCTGGAAGTGATTACAGGTGTGCTATTGTTATAAGGCAATATGATGTTGTTGTGACTATCTCAATATAAAGGTGCAGCGCTAAACACTAATTATACAGCGTAAATCTCGTCAATATTAAAAGAAAATGTGAAGATGCAGTCTCTTTAAAATTGTGCAACATGAGAAAATCAATAACATGTGCTCAGTACAAAGGTGTAGATTTCCAGCAATATCAGATCGTTCAAGGAAATAAACCAATATAAAATGTACAAATAAATAAAATTTGTGCATAAATGATGTCACCAATAGGTGAATACAGTGCAAAAAAAGTCCCAGCTGTATTGCCCACGTGAGGATCCTGTATGATCCCGATAAGCGTGCGTGGAGGGTTACTTCCAGTGGCAGGTGTTCAATATAAATGAAATGCGCACTCACCAGAAGTGCGTGTATACACGCATTTGAGATATAACCTATCTCAATAGGTATAATTCAGGTCATCCACCTCCCAGATCAGGTCAGGTCAGGATACTCCCAGTCACATCTGCATGCAGCACTCAGGGATCCTTGATGCGTATCACCTTAGGGGCTCACCCATAGTGCGGTCTCTGCGAATGCCCCTCACAAATAGGGACCAATAAAGGAGACCACATAGTGTGATACCATAGGGAACTTTATTCCATCAAATGAGAAGTGCAAATGACAAAGTGAAAAAAAGAAACAAAACACTGACCGTGTAATAGGGATTCAGGATGGCCACCAGCGGTGGCTAGACGTCCAATTGCTGTAGCCCCCCTATCTGGTTTCCATTTTTAAATATATGTACATGGATTGTCGCCATATTATGCATATATTTCTTTTTTCGTGTATGTGACGATAGCATGGTTTGGCTATTTTTCATTGAATGGCTATAGAGATTTCAGGATGAGTTAGGAACTGAATCCAGGGACAGTCTGTGGTAATCAGGCTAAGTGGTTGCCTTTCAAGCTCTTTGTAATCTTGAACCTGGCCATTTGATGAAAAATCTCATCTGTTGATAAGATATATATTTTTGTATTACCTGGTATGTTTTTACTTTCACATCTCAGTGTCTATGTTCAAACCTTCCCAAATCTATCCAAAATTAAGCGAACCAAACATTGGCCACAGTCCTGCTCTAAATCCACAACAGTAAAATCAGTCAGTTTATGCAGTAAAGCATGCTTGTTATACTCACTGTGAGACCTAGGGGGTTAATCCTCCACATTGTGTCTGCTCTGATCTTCCCCTTCTACTATCCCCAGTCCATCTGCTAGTAGTACAGAGCTCTAGGAGACACTCTGCACATGCTAAGTTTAGTGTGTATTGCTAGAGAGTTTTTTTTTTTTCTTTCTTTGTAACTGTGCTGATCACATGCACCCTCCCAATCAGCACTGTCTAGACAGATGGTCAGGGATCATGCAGCCTCATAGGACAGTCAGAGGGGAATGAAAACTCCTCCTACAAGCTTTACCAGTGCTCATCTGGACACTGATAGAAGTTACAAAACTGCTCTAACTGCTGATTAGAAAAGGTATTTAGCAGTTTATATTTACTAAAATAACTGCATTTCCAAATGGGAGAAAAAAATAACCTGTTGGAGAACAAATGGAAGAAGCATGGGATGAGAAAATTCAATCCTTAGAACAGGTTTCCGAGAGAGTTTTGCCTTCGTTAGAGTAGACAAAATGATTCCAGTAGAACCAAGTTTTTGTATAGTGCTCCTGCCTGTTTTGGACAGTGAGGACCGAATCCTCCAGCACGCTAATGTCTTCAACCTTGTTAAGCCACATTGAAATGGAAGGAGGATTTGGATCCTTCCATTTGAGAGTAATGCAAGCTTTGGCGGCATTGGGTAAGTGGCGAAGGACCAATTTTTTTTGTAGTTCTTTGCTGGGAAGTGAGAACAGTGGAGGAGAAAGAAGGCAGGGTCATCTGGGACCGAGAGATTCGTGAATAGTTGAGTGATTCTGTAAACCTTCCTCCAGTAATAATCCAATTTAGGGCAGGACAAGAAAATATGTAGTAGCATCCCTCGTTCCTTCTGACATCTCCAGCAAGCACTGACTTTTAGAAAAGCTACTCTCTAGCTCCCTTATCTCCTCCTCCCATGCTAGTCTCCAAGACTTTTCCAGGTCGTCACCCATCCTCTGGAACTCCCTACCCCAATCTATCAGGCTATCACCTACTTACTTTTAGGCGATCACTGAAAACCTATCTCTTCAGGGAAGCCTATCCCGCCCTCTGCTAATACTGGAATCCTCTACTCTTCCAACCACTCCATCCCCCACAGTTATTACCTTTTGTACCATTCACCCCTCCCTCCTAGATTGTAAGCTCCAAGGAGCAGGGACCTCCTATCCCTCTTGTATTGAACTGTATTGTTACTGTATTGTCTCCCACTATAATGTAAAGCGCTGAGCAAACTGTTGGCGCTATATAAATCCTGTATAATAATAATAATAATATAATAAAAAAGTCCAAATTCACCCACAGCGATGCCTTTAGACGATTGGGGATTTAGGGGCACCCAGCAACAATGTACTAACAAAAGAGTAGCACAGATCGGTGTGTCACCTGACAGATTCCATTTTCCTTTATGGTCGGCTCCCTTTAAAGCAAGATATTATTATTATACAGTATTTATAAAGCGCCAATGGGGTTCGCTCAGCTCTGTACATTACAAAGGGGGATAGAACATGTGACAGAACAATACCAATACAATGCAAAACATGAGGGGATTGAGGGCCCTGCTCTTTCGAGCTTACAATCTAGGAGGGAGGGGATGGTGGCACAGGAGGAGATAGCTGTGGGGGATGGAGTGGTAGGAAGAGTGGAGGAGGTCGGCAGGTTAGCAGGGGGTGGGGTAGGCTTCCCTGAAGAGATGGGTTTTCAGGGTGCGCCTAAAGGAGAGGAGAGTAGGTGATAATCTGATGGGTTGGGGCAGGGAGTTCCAGAGGATGGTGACACCCTGGAGAGGTTCTGGACGCGGGCATGGGAGGAGGAGACCAGGGAACATAGATATAGAAAGGCCAGGCTGTAAAGTTTAGTGGAGAAAGTGTGTTGTCATCCTAGACAGGAAGTTAGGAGCTTACTGGATTTCTGGCAGATCATCATGTATTTTTCTGTACTTGCAGAATTGTTGTAAAGCCTGAATGTTTTTTAACGTCATGCATTCTATGCACAAAAATATAAAAAAGTCAGGATGCAGCTCCCCATGCAGCCCCCCCTAATACCCGAGCCTGGCCCCGATCTAGTGATGTCTACAAGAGCAGCTGCTGTCCTGGCTCCTGCTGCTTTCAATCACAGCCAGTTAGGAGGGAGCGGGGCTGAGCCTTGTTCTGTTTATCTTATGGGCACGCAATGCGAGGCTCGGGAGCGAGCATGCACAAGTTCCCCCACAGCAAGCAGCTTTCTATGTGGGCACCCAGCAGGGGAAGGGGCCCCTGAAATACACTACAACTTTTTGTTACAGGCTGGACATTATTTTATAAATTTATCTCGAAGCAGATGCCTTAACAATTAAGCATGGAAAGCACTTGAAGTTCTCAGAAATACTAAATGTCAAGCCTTTCTTTACATTAAAAAAAAATCTTTTGCTTTTAACAACTACTTTCCAGAAAATTCTATTATGTTTTTTACCATGGCGTTCTCAAGGAAAGTGTGTTCTAAGAGGAAGTGAGGATTCCTGGTACAGCAATCTTTACCAGAGAGAATGTGAATGAAAGGATTCCCAATCAATTGTATTACTCTGAGGACATGCAGCTGTGCACTGAGAAGAAATCCTATCAGCATATTCGCTCTATTTTTTTTGTGAATAGACTAGTAAGCTTTCAATGAGAGAGAGAACTCCTCTAACCTGCACTTTACAGGTCATTCTTGAAATGTACAGAGCAGCAGTTCCTAGATTTGATTTTCTTACACTGATGCTGAAAAGTTCTATGGAGTCCCGTCTCTTTCAGCAGAAGGAGGCGGATAGAAATTTAGAAAACTGATGTTTTTGTTTTGTTTTTTGCTATTCATCTCCAGGTAAATCCCCTCTGCCATTCCTTCCTGCAACCTTTTCACAACATTTTAAGGCCTCGAGTACACAGAATGTTTACCACAGGGTCATAAGGCTCCTAGAGTTTAGGTGTAAGTGGAAGGTGCAGGCACACCGTCCAACCCTTTTGCTGGCAGCCTGGAAAAGTCTGAGAGACTGATGGCTGCCATGGCTGGACAGTGCACAGAGCGGTACTTTCATTGTCCAAAACGCTGACTGCTTGCATTCCGGACATTTGTCCCTGGACATGTACTGCCTTAATCAAAAGTACCGCTCAGTGCGCAGTTCAGCTGCAGCAACTGTCAGCCTCTCTTAGACTTTTACAGGCTGGCGGCAGCTGGGCTGCACTGTGTGCCTATACTGTCCAACCGCACAAAAACGCGGGAACAATATGCACCAAG